AAAAAAAAAAAAAAAAAAAAAAATGGTTTTGTTTCCAATTTTATAAATATATACAGTTTCTGTTCAATAATTTCTGGCAAGATTTATTTTTGGAGATTTGTCTAACAGCTTCACAATTCTCCCAAACAGAAACGTCTATAAACTTTGACAGCACTTCGTCTAAATTACCAATATCTCTGGACATCTAACAGCTTTACAATTTCTTTTTCAAATCTAGATAAGAAAATTTTAGTGAGTGGAATCAATATATCAAAACAGCTATCAGCCATAAATTTTTTTAAGAAACATTTTACGGTGATAAATGTTTTGATCTACCCTTCTAGCGCTCGCCAAGGTTTTTATAAGTTCTACAAAGATCTTCTTTAGCGACCTACTTAGAATTGGGACATCTTCTAACACGACTGTTGGCATCTTATGTTCAAGTTTTACTTTATTCTGTTAGTGAATGAACAGATAGTTTATGAGGTTTGTCATAAGCTTTAATTATGAAAAGTTTGGAAGCAATACAAACAATAAAACTTCTTTTTACTATTAATTAGGCAAAACTACTTATTAAAACAAAGAAAGTATTGTCTTAATCAGAAGAACAGATGTAACATAGATATTAGCCAGTCACCGATTTGTACTGTAAAGTTACTTTTTCTAGTAATTTTCAGTAATTTACAGCTGTGAAATCGAAATTTGTTCCCCGAACAATTTTGGATTAAATAACCAGTTATTAGTAATCAAAAACGACAGTACATTATCAAAATGGTACTACACCATATAAACCATATAAACAATGCCTATTTATAATTTTTGTTCACATCATTGTCTGCTTTGGTTGTAAATACTAATCTCTGCTGTAAGAGAAGATCAAAAAATACTTTTTTTAAATCATAAAAATTGACTGCCGAAGAAATAAAAATCTGTTAAAATTTGTTCCGGTTGAAGAAAATTTATGTGTGCTTAACTTTGAATTTTTTCCTTTTCCTTTTGTGTTTTGATAAGACTTTAATCCTCAGAAAAAAATGCATCATTTTAGAGCAACGTTTTTCGGTCTAGAAGAAATCCTCGTTGACCTGCATTAGTCTTTCAAATTTAAAAAAAATTACGGATTAAAATTTTAAGACTATTTCTTTTGCAGTACTGTGGTATGTCTTTTAAACCGAAAAGACGGTAATTTTATGGAAGGAAATGCCCAAAATATTGAAGATTTTTCTGAGTTTGAATAAGGTTTGCTCGCGATAAAAGTGAAATTATTATTTCATAATATTTTGCATTTTCTTTAAATAATAATGTGAAACAATTTTAAAGTAAATGCGACCACTGAGTCGAAGAAATATTATAACCGCTAAAATTTTAGTAACATAAGTCTTTTTTCAGCTTTGTAAGGGTAAGGTTTTGCAACACTGAAGTCTTCCAGTCTCACCATTTATGAAAATATTATTAACAGTTTTATAGTCACTAATTAGACATTAACTTTTGAGCAGCTTCCAGGATTTTATCCAAAAGGAAGAGTTTTAAAGATTTATTTTTTTTTATTCCATTATAGTCGATAAGCGTAGTTTAAGTGTTTTATAACGGCGGAGCGTAAGAAGATGGTGATTATGCTTCTTATCTGTACGATATGATGTTGTTCTAAACTGGTGACTGTATACTTCAAAAGAAAATAAAAAGTAGTTATTATATAAAGAAACTGATGTACTTTTTACACAGCAGAACATTTATGATCAGTCTTATGACAACAACTTATTTGTTATATTTAATGCTCTGTTACTTTTGTTTTTTGTTTTTTTACAAGAATTTTTTGCCAAAGTTTATTTGTTACAGTGTGCAAGATATATTTTTAGTTATATTTAATTAAAAAAAAGATATGCTGTACACTTTTTCTTTAACCTTCCGTTAAAGAAATACAGAGAGAAGTTGTTGCGAATTTGGCAAGGAAACACATCTTCAGAAAACAAACATACGATTCCAGCAGAACCTTTTTAAATGACCTCAAATGGTTTTCAAGAACGTCGTGAAGGACATCCAGTGAGGTACATCAGTGAATCAGTGAGGCAAACATGGAATACCGCTAAACCATCAAAAGAAATTTATGACTTTGATAAGGGTTATACTGTTTTTAAAAATTCCATAAAATCATCACAGTTCTAACATTCTGTGTAGAAAAATGGAAAAAATATTAGAAATAAAACGTGACTGAATGAATTTTCATGCTTTTTTCAACCAATCGTAAGCAATGGCTTCTGGTTCCGAAACGAATTTTCCGAATGTACTTTCAAAACTTTTTTCAGTAATATACAGTTAAAAATTGCTTCTAAATTGCAAAGCAGTTAGACAAGGTAATCTTAAAAGAACTTCAGTTTCCAAAAACAAATTTAGCAGAAAAAAAATTAGGGATCTCAAAACAAAATTTATCTTCTACATTAAGTTCTTTTGTTTCGTATTATGACACTGAAATTTTGATCTTCATTCAAATTAGAAAACAATGCAAATTTATGCCATGCTTGAACATAGAAGCAACTATAAATTTTTAGAAACAACTGTCTAACGAATTCGACAGGTCCGTGAAGTTTAGAAAATGCTTTCTCTCAACCATAATCCGGTTTTCTTAAGTGCTGTAGAGAAAAAAGAAGCTAAATAACAAAGGCTTTAGTTTATTTTGGCGGTTAAACATTCAGTGCCGATTTGCATTTGCCATTAGAAAGCAGTTCCAAAACAGATAACATTATTTTTCAAACACTGTAAATCTGAGACAATAGGTTTGTTTTTATGTACAGTGAACAACTCGAAAAACCATAAAGAATCGCTAGATCCATGACAGGGTACGTCTTGAGATGATATTTGCAGTATTGCTAATTTGACAACCCGAAACTATGTTGAGACAAATTATGTCAAAATTGTCTTTCTTTGTAGACAGTAGAAGTAGCAACATAGGCAACTTTGACCTTTTCAAGTCAAGAATGTTTAAGGTGCTCTATTCAAACACCATTGTTTTCTCTAAAAAATATACCGTTTATAGAATTTCAAAATATACTTTTAAAAAATTATTTGTCAATAAAATTGCCAACAAACCAAATTGGAGAAGTTTTCTAATTTTTACGCAAATGTTTTTTTTCATTTTACTCAACAGTACAATTTTAATGATCAACTTTGATTTGAAACTAGCGTTTTCTCTTTTGTTTTAGACAGAACTATTTTTAATTACTTTTGTTTCAACAACAGACAATTGGATAATCATACAGTGAATTAGAATATTTATGCTTTTTCTTCACAGTTCCAAAATCTCAAAAAAATTTTTATTTTTGGTTTAATTTCTAGCAATTATTTAATTTATAATGAATAAATGAATGTTTTTAGTGCTTCAACAATAATCAATACTTTTTTCTCCTTAAGTCCCAGTTCTTAAATGACTATGCAGTAAGTCCAATATTGTCACTTAAATTTCTTTTGATTTTGTATTTCCGAAACTGATAAGGCTGCTAAGCTCAAAAGGTTTAGAAAACATGATGAAAAAAAATTTT